CAATGTTTGCAGCAAGCAATGCGCATCATTGGCAGTTTTATTGTCTTACCAAGCAGAAATCTTCTCCAGAGCGCCACAAATTTTGACTAAGTTGTCTCCTTGAAATTGAAGATGCCCATCATGCCTCTCTACCCAACGTGTCTCACAAATACCTTGCATGGCAGCTCCGAGTTCTATTTTTAAAATTTCATGCCTCTTAGCGGATGCATTGGCAAATGCTACAACTTTTCTCATTGTGCCAGATGTATTGCGACAGGAAACTACTTTGGATGATCTTGCCAATGAGTTATTGAGCACATGGTTGTTGCACGGGCAACGTTTAGCATGAATGGCTATTTTCATCAATTCTTGCACTGCACCTTTTGTATCTGATGCCATAACCGAGCAGCTGTCAGTTCCAATACCCACACACCAAGATAAATCTAAGTTAAATTTGGTACACAGATTTTCAACGATTTTCGCCAATGCTACACCTGTCAATCGAGGCTCTATGTCACCTGAATTGTTGTGTTCACGTCTAAGAGCATCGTAGGTATCACAAAAAGTCACAAAATGTTCCTTAATAATACCATCATGCAAATATCGGAATGATAGGCTCAGCTGTGAGATATGTGATATATCTGTTGTTTCATCGAACAAAATTGAAAAATATTTAGCTTCCCACACATTCTGTAAAATGTTTTCCTGGATGATTTCTGCGCAAACATCTATCAACTCATTTTGTACAGTCTTGCTGATGTACGTGGCGTTGGATTTTGAAGATTTTAAATGTTGCTGCAATGCAATATCGCCAGAATCAATACGGAATTTTAAAAGGGCTCTAAAATTCCCTTCATCGGCTACTACGCTGTCATAGTTCAGCAATTTACCATCGTCGCGGTGGCCACGTAACGATATATTTTGATGGCCACAAAATATTATAGTTTTTACGATTGGTCGCAAACGTTCTCTATTTTCATTTATTTGTTTCAGTCTTTGACTATTTACTTGGTTCATTATGTTAATTTCCGGTTTATGAAAACTCAATAAAAAGTTCTTCCCTGCTTCGACAGCTAATTCGTGGTATTTGTTTCGCTGGTGTGTTAGCAGAACACCATTTTCACCTAGCAAATTATCGAAAGCTTTTAATGGTTCTTTTACGAGTCGACATAAAGGTGTTTTTGTCTGTATACCACCTCCAGGAGCTACGACAAACAAAGCACAGTACTTGCAGTAAAGACCCTGGTCTTTATGCGACAAAACAAGCCAGTGAAACTTGTCAAGGTGAAACTTCTGAGCAAATCTTTTTGTTTGTTTTCCTTTTTTATTAACAACACAATGCGGGAAAGTATAATTAGGGGGAGGCTGCCAATGCTTTTCAAGCAACATAGCTTTAGTTGAATCATCTATATTTTCCCCTATATAACAAGCAATATCTGAAGCAAACTTTGGTTGAGAAAGTGAAGTCTTTATCTGATCAGAATCAGAAGTCGATGTACATATTGTAGGCTGAATATCGTTAGTAACAGGAGAGCATGTTTTTTCTTCATCTATGGTTAATGTAGGCAATGTAGCTGTAGAAGCAGAAGCATCGGCAATACAATTAGTTTCATCTGTAGTTGTTGTAGGTGAATTTTTCGAGTGAGCAATCTCAAGCCTTGGTTTCTTTGGGAAAAATGAATCTATTTTTTTTAATGAACGTTTCAATCCACCACTACCATCTCCTTTTCCCTTAGAATCACCCTGCAAGCAAAACCATGCAAATTTCACACCCCACAACAGACAACAGACTGTTGCAAATACATATTAAATATATATACATAAAAACACCCACATTCGCTATAGTACAGGCTGGTGGCGCAGGCGCATTACCTCACAAACAAAGCAAAACCATGCAAATTTCACACCCCACATCAGACAACAAACTTTTGTAAACATATGAGTTATAAGTACATAAAAACATAATAATATAGGTAGTTTTACAGTCCACTGCATTTTCCATAAAGACCTTACTTAAGTTTAGGCCCCTACACGAATTTTTATCAGGTAGGTACGTACATCAAATAGGTAATACCTACTTACTTTAGGTAAGTATAGTGTTAAACAAGCAAAACAATTTCAGGTTCTCTAATATTTTATAGTTTTTAAAAATCTGTAATATACAAATAAAGTAAAAAGTAGTAGGTAGGTAGATTACTATTTACTTGTTGTAAATGCATGCCTGTTAATGAAGCGCAATGTTTTTGTGTCACGTAATAGTTTGCATCGAAGTTTTCGCTAGGTGCTTTTAAAAACTTTAACCAAGATTATTTTTACGTTTATGCATGCTATATTCATTCTGTTGGTTGCTCTCTTATTTTATATCAGTTCATTCTGTTGGTTGCTCTCTTATTTCAAATGAGTGTGGTCACGACGATACACTTGATTTCATTGTGTGAATTTATCTAAGATTTTAGGTTAGGTAAGTAAGCTTAATGCTCTTCAATCTCCCTCGTCCAAAAAAAATATATAAGTAGGTACATAAGTCACGCAGCACTCTTTCAGTAAGTAGGTACCTACCTACCTACCTATGAGGTACTTTATGAGCATTAACAACAATAACATTTAAGTTAAAACACACGCAGTGGAATAATGCGAAACTGATTATTTACCATTTCTTGTAATTAATGAATTTGCAGCAACAATTTTTAACAATACTTATAAAGGTACACTTACAAACACATTATAGGTAGAAAGAAATTTTAGTTTTTTAACTTAGAACTATGTTATGATATGTTGAAGTTTAGTCGTTCCATACAAAGTTATTATATTATATTAAATTAATTAAATATTGAAGGTATGTAGTTACATAAAATCTGTATGGTGACAAAATATATAATTAAAATCATTATGTTCAATTAGTGGTCCACCTAAGTCCTGGAACCAGCTCAGGGG